TTAGTTTTTTTAAAAGAATGTGTTCTTGGGTAGTGCCCGTAGGCCAGTGCGTAGGGTGCTGGCCACATACACTGAGGCTGGCAGGTTCAAATCAGCTAAAACATCAATGTCAACTGCAGCAACAAAAATAGCCAGGCACTTGTAGTCCCAGCTACTTGGTAGGCTAAGGCAAGAGAATCGCTTGAGCCCGCTGTGAGCTGTTATGCTACAGTACTCTACCCCAGATGACAACTTGAGACTCTGTCTCAAAAAAAAAAAAGAATGTGTTCTTTAATTTCCACATATTTGTGACTTTTTTTGTTTTCCCTATGCTGTTGATTTCAAGTTTCATTTCATTATGATTAGAAAAGATAATTGATAGTGATACAGGATTCCACCACTCAGGGCTAGACAGGGAGCCACCCTTTCTCTCTTTAATTTTTTTTTTTTGGGACAGAGCCTCAAGCTGTCTCCCTGGGTAGACTGCTATGGCTTCACTGCTCACAGCAACCTCCAACTCCTGGGCTCAAGCGAGTCTCCTACTTCCGCCTCTCAAGTAGCTGGGACCACAGGTGCCCGCCACAACGCCCGGCCATTTTTTGGTTGCAGCCATCATTGTTTGTCGGCCCGAGCTGGGGATTCGAACCCGCCACCTTAGGTGTATGTGGCTGGCGCCTTAGCCGATTGAGCCACAGGTGCTGAGCCGAGCCACCCATTCTCTAGGCCCGGATGAGTTTAGAGGTTAAACCCCCATTTCCAGGCACAAGCAGACTGCCTTTTTTGGGACACACCCTCTGGGCTCTCATAAGATCATGAACAAAAGCAGCTGTGATGGTTTTTTGAGTGGTTCCACCTTCGGTAGGAGCACACACCCTATCCCTTCTCATGGACAAAGACTGTGAAGGACATGATAACCTTGCCCTGGTGAAGGAGGAACTACATTCACTTGTTAATGCACTCATTTCCACCTACCAACTGCCAGCCATGTGTAATGCTCTAGACCTAATAACCCCAAGATGAAAGAGCCCACGGGGAGACTCCTGAGAGAGTTCCTTCAGTTCTTTCCCCCTTCCAGAAGCCCTGGTGCTTTTTACTTTTTCTGTATTCCTTTCTAACTTCTAATAAAAGTCCTGTCTTACCACTGATCTGTGGTCCGTGGGTTCATTCTTCAAATCCCCGAGACGAAGGACCTACTGAAGAGTGGAATTCCCGTATCAATAGGATGTCATTATTCCTAAATTTGTTAAGACTTGTGTTGGGACATATGATCTATCCATTACAGTGTTGCATGTGCACTTGAGAAGACTGTTTTCAATCTGCTGTGATAGAGTATTCTTTAGGTCTGTTAGGTACAGTTGGTCTATAATGTTGTTCGTGTCTTCTCTTTTCTTATTGATCACTTGTGTGTTGGTCTATCCATTATTGAAGATAGAATATTGAAGTTTTCTATTAATTTTGTTGCTGTCTGTTTCTCCCTTGAATTCTTTTATTGCTTCACATTGAAGGCTCTAATGTTAGATGTGTATATATTTATAATTGTTATATCTAGTGAATTAACCTTTTATTATTATATAAAGTCCTTCACTGTCTCTTTAGACAAAGAAATTTTTTAAAGTCTGTTTTGTCTTATATAAATATGGCCACACTTACTCTCTTCATTATAGCAGTTACCTAAAATACCTTTTCCAGCCTTTCCCTTTCATTCTCTGTGTGTCTTTAAAGTGAGTGTCTAATAGACAGAATTTGGTTGTATCTTCTTTATTTATATATTAAGCCAGTCTTATGTTTTGATTTGGTATTTTCTTCAATTTGCCTTAAAGTAGTTAGTGATTGGAAGGGACTTACTATTTTCATTTTTGTTTTTTCTTTGCAACTTGTAGTTAATATGTTCTTCTCTGATTGCTTTCCTTATGTTTCATTGATATTTTTAAATAGCAACATCTTTTGATTTCTTTTAAAAAATCCTTTTAAATATTTTCTGTACATATTTTCTCTGTGATTACCATGGGGATTACACAAAATATCTTGAAGTTAGAACTATATAAATAAAGATATAAAATCTATTTTAATCTGTTAATAACTTTAATCAAATATAAGACCTCTATTACTTCACATCTCTCTTGCTGCAGCTTGATATTATTGATGTCATATATTACATCTTTTTATATTGTATATCCATTAACATATTTTCAGTTAGTTTTAATGCTTTTGTCTTTTAAATTCTATACCAAAATTAAATGTAATTTATGCTCCATTATAACAAGAATTTTAAGACCCTGTATTTGTCTCTGTATTAACCTTTATTAGAGAAACTTATATATATATATTTTTTTTACAATTTTGGGCCAGGGCTGGGTTTGAACCCACCACCTCCGGCATATGGGGCCAGCACCCTATTCCTTTGAGCCACAGGTGCTGCCAAGAAATTTACATTTTTTTTACTGTCATATAATTGTGTAGTATGTTTTCATATCCACTTGAATGACTTCCTTTATAGAACTGATCTAGTGGTGATGAACTCCTTCATCTTTTCTGTATCAGATAATGTCTTAATGTTGCATTCATTTCTGAGGGATAATATTAATGGATATAGTATTCTCGATTGGCAGTTCTTTCATTGAGCACTTTGAATATATCATCCACCCATTCAGGCCTGCAAAGTTTCTGCTGAAAAGTCTGTTCATAATCTTATGGCAACTCTGTTGTATGTTATATATATCACTTTAATTTTGCTGCTTTGAAGATATTTTAACTGTAACTCTGACAACTTGATTATAATGGATCTTAGTGTAGGTGTTTTGAGTTTAATGATAGAGGTATTTGAGCTTCTTTGTTTTTTAATTTCACTCTTCCAATTTAGGATGTTTGCAGTAATTATTTTTATAAATGGGCTCCTTGCCCCTTTCTCTCTCTTCCCTAATGCATATATCTTGGTAGACTTGTTGGTGCCCATAAGTTTTTTAGGTTCTCTTTGCTTTTTAAAAAGTTTTTTAAAAATTTGGCTTTGGTAATTTCAAGTGACCAATCCTCAGAATTGCTGACTTATTTTTCTGCTTGGTTCAGTTTGCTTTTGATTACCTAGAGAGTTTTTCACTTCCATTGTATCCTTCACTTCAGAATTTATATTTAATTCCTTTTTATAATTTTTATTATCTTTTGTTAATATTGTCATTTTGTTCATGCACCATTTTCCTGATTTCACATCTCCTTCCATCCATCCATCCATCTGTCCATCCTTCCATCCTTTGTTGTTGCCTGGGTTAAAGTGCTTACTCAACCTCATATTCCTGACTCAAGAAATCCTCCTGCCTCAGCCTTCCAAAGTGCTATGATTGATTATAGGCGTGAATCACTGAACCCAGCCCTACCTAGTTTTCTATTTGTGTCCTCTTTTACCTCATTGATCACTTTAATGACAGTTATTTTGAATTCTTTGGTGGATGATTCATAGACCTCTGTTTTCTTTGTGGTTCATTTCTAGGGATTTATTTTTTCTCTGGTTGGGTCATATTTCCCTTTTGTATGCCTTGAGTGTTATTTTTTGTTAAAATGTGACCATTTGAAAAAGCAGCCCCTTCCAGTCTTTTTACACTTTGTATACAGGAAGGCTTTCACCAGTCAGCCTGACTAGAGATTCTGTGGGTCTCCAAAACCTTATTTTGGAGATATGTCTTTGGACTTTTGCTCATATTTCCCTTTTGAAGAGGTTTGCCTGGTTCTACTCCAGAGCTCCCCTTGATGTCTGTCTTTGGCATTGTGACCTCTGACCTCTGATGCTTTAGCAAACTTTTATTGGCACCCCTCCGCCCACTGTCTTTCTGTATACATGCAATTTCTGTGTTGCTGTAGCAAACTCAGGGTCTTCGATTTGTTCTCTGAGGCCACCTAGGCATCCAAAGTGTTTAGGGTCATCTGTTTGATGTAATTCTAAGCACTGGCCATCTTTGATTTAATATTTGTCATTCTTACACTTGATTTAGTCTTAAGTAGAGTTATGATGTTACTTATTTATTCTTATTATTTTAAGAAATAAATGATGCAGGTATTATTAGTGATGAAGGCCTAAATAATGATAATTAATATGTAGGTGTTAGAATTCCATCTTTGTAATTTTTAGTTGGGAGGAAAGGGTGAAATAAGTTGTTACTGAAGCTTAGAA